TGTGAGGAGCGGTGGCGGAAATATTGGGGTAACACAGACAACCAAAGACGCGGAGGTGAGAGTAGGAGGGGGGAGTTGTAAAGTGTGGCGTGGGGGGTGCGATTATTGAGTGTGGTGGTGGGGAGGATATTAAAAATGTGGGCTGTCATGTGAAGGGCCTCGACCCAGAAAGTGGGAGGTAGTTGGGCTTGGAATAGGAGAGAGCGGACGGTGTTGTTTATGGTGCGTATGGTGCGTTCAGCCCGCCCGTTTTGCTGACTTGTGTGAGGGCACGAAAAATAGAAGAGAATGCCTAAAGAATCAAAAATATTTTTGAGAGGAGAGTTTCGATATTCTGTTCCATTGTCACATTGCACAGCTATGATGGTTGTGTTAAAGTGATTTTTTACATATGCAATAAAGGAGTTTAAATGGCTAAAGGCATCGCTTTTATTTTTTAAAGGAAAAACCCATAAATAATGAGAAAAATCATCCAATAACAACATATAAAATTTAAAACCAGTAATGCTTGGAGCAAGAGATTGCCATAAGTCTGTATGTAAAAGTTGAAACGGAAACATTGAAACACGACTAGAAGAATAAAATGGGAGGCGCACATGCTTTCCCAATTGACATGCATGACATAAAGAATGTCTATAATTTTTAAAAAACGGAAGAGAGGAAACGCCACGAAGAACGGCTTGGCTGGGGTGGCCTAGACGCCGATGCCAGGTCTGAAGATCGACAGCGGCGCCATTGGCTTGGGCAGGTGCTGTTCGGCCAAGAGGGTAGAGAGGTCCCATATCATTGGATCGATGCATCACAGTTCCCGTCCGACGATCCTTCACAGAAAAACCATTAACATCAAATTCAACAGTACAGTTATTATCACGGGTAAGTTGGCGAACAGAGATGAGATTATGGGTGATGTGAGGGGAGACAAGGATGTTTTTAAGGGATAGGGCAGGGGTAGTGGGGAAGGTGTGGCTACCAACAGTCGTAGTGCTGACTTTAGATCCATTACCAACAGTGATATATAATGGTGAATATAGAGTTTGAGAAGAGACATGAGAAAGAGTACCTGGATCAGAGGCGATGTGGTGGGAGGCACCGGTATCCATGTACCATGTAGGCTCATGTAGAGATAGGGTGTCAAAGTGATGGGCGAGAACGGTTGGGGTGAGTGTTTGGGCTTGCGAGTAGGGTGGAGGGGTGGGGTACTGCCCTGCGGTAGTGGGGTGAGGATACGGCAGGGGGGTTAGGGTTGTGGGGTAGGCTTGCGGGTAGGGGTTTGTAGGAGAGGGAGGGTACGGGTGTGGGGAGTGGTGGTGTAGTAGGCATGGGGGGTATGGGTGGTGTGTGGGCCGTGGCCCTAGCAAGCCAGGGGTGGGGTTTGGGCGAGGTGAGTGCCATGTAGTATTTCGGTCATGGGTTTGTCGCTGTCTAGAGCCGTTTTGACGTCCACGTCCACGGCCCCGATTTTTACCGCCACGTCCTTGTCCACGTCCATAGCCTCCGCGCTGTCTCGGGTTCCCTTCACCGTAGCTGCTGCCGCCATGTGGTCCACCATAGCCGCCGCTGCCACCGTGTGTCCCGCCGTGGAGTTGACCGCCGGCCCGGGTAGTGAGCAAGGCCGAGGTCCCGGGGT